ATTCTCTATCAAAAGCTTTGCAATTGCCTTATGACCTTTGTCTGATGCCACCTGCAGCACATGCACATAATTTCCCTCCATCAATGTATTGACATCTCCTCCACTTTTTAGCAGACTAAGTGTAAGTTTGGTCCGACCAGTTTTGCATGTGTAATAAAGAGGTGGCAAGTATTTAGAAGCATTCCATGGATCATAAATCCTAACCCAATTAACATAAGAAGGACTGTCAGCAGTCAGAAGCTTTGTCATTAATCCTGATAGAGATGATTCTTGAGATTTATCATCATTACTTGATTGTACATGGAATATCCAGTTTTTTGCTGCATACTCCATAAGAGGAAAATCTGCATAATATACTGATCCTGTTCTTTCAGTTTGCAGAAGGTAGACAAGACAGGTCTGCAATATTGTAAAGTGAGAGAGCTCTTGGCTGAGGCTAAAAGCTTTCACTTGCTCATTATGATGTTCTTTAACATGCTTAGACAAGAGATACTCCTTGATTGAGAAGTGTGCAAGCTTGATTTCAGCTGTTTTATGTTCAGTGTTGACTTCAATCTGGTGAAAATTTTAAACCTACATTCTGATTCAATAACAAAACTAGAGCACATCTGCAAAACATCTGAGATATCTTCAATTTTATTTTCAGATTCAAATTGTGGTCCATTCTCAGCCATATGATCAACAGTTACAGTTGCAGCAAGTTCCTCCAATGTCATTGGACGAATAGCAAAACACAACCATAGCAGAAATGTTTTTGTGTAGCCATAATCATTTTCATCAATCCCCAACAAGATCCAATCACATGTTTCATCCAAACCTTTAGGTAAGGTTTTCAGCTGTTTTCTGATTGCTGTCTTAGTGCAGCATTTTTTAAGCTCCATTAGCTGTAATGCAACCCATCAAAACCTGCATTTGAATTTAGCAAATATCCATATAGATACTGGGTAAAGAAACATACATTCCATCTGCTTGCTGTCTCAATGTCAACTGTATTTCATCCAGAATCTCTGGAGCCCATTTCTGCCAGTCAGACATAGTTTGAAGCTGATGGTGAAGATAGAGCTCAATGTCATGGTTTTCAGATGCTTTAGCCAGATCAACACAGTGGTAAGACTTGAATTTATCATTTATCTCTTTTTCTGGCCTGCTAGTAGTAATCAAGTGCAGCCTGACATTTTCATTCTTATGCAATATGATAGTCTGAACCCAGTCAAGCACCTTATCCCTTTCAGAGCGTTCATCAAGAGCATCCAGGATAATATAGGCAGAGTCAAAGCTACTAAGAATCTTTTGGAGGACATCATGAAGATCATCAAGAGATGGCTGCTGATAGCCTTTGCCACAGTGAAAATGCAAGTCTGTCAAGACTTTTGGTACACCATCTCCAGACTTAAGTGAGAATTGCCAAATGAGTGAATGAATCAGTTTGTCATGCAGCTGTAGTTCCTTTTGGGAGTCTCTTCCATCAAAAAAGAAATAAGCAGTTGCAAGAGATGATTGTGATTTGAGAAGATGATTAATGATGGCAGAGCTGGTGAAAAGTTGAATTAGCTTTATCTGAAGGTATTAAAATAGTTATAGGTATATACCTTAGAATAGTTTTACCACATCCAGCTTAACAATTGGTTAATTTGTAGTGCAAATGATATATCTGATGAATAGCTTACATTTGCCTTTGATCCAGAGAAAACCAGGCTCTTCCAGCCACTTAGAGAAGCTCATTCCATTGAGAAACCATACACAGGAGGCTGGTTGATTCTGCAGAATTGCAGATGCTGCATGGTAATTCCTGGAGCTGTCAGGAGGGGAAAGCCAAGTACGAATATCTTTATCTAAAACAATGAGATAGATCAAGCAAAATGATCAAACTGGCATGTAAGAGTGATTTGCATACCCAAGTCTACAGCTCCCAAACAATATGTTATTGAGGTCAATACAGTGCTGGATTTATTACACACCTTGATTATTGACATTTTGTATCCAAAGACCTATTACAATACAGCTGATAATCTTCAACATGAGACTGCTCAAATTAAACATACCATAGTTGTCACCAGTATTTACATTTTGAACTTCTTTATAGTTATTTATCACACCAACCTCAGTTTTTGTTGGATAGTCTGCATTGTGAGCTGGCATATGTTATAAACCATAAAAATTATTACCTGATGACTTTGGCCATGAAGGATCCACAATGGGAAGGTTGGATGATCCATCTATGCCAAGGCCATCAGTAACATTAGGAAGCAGGATTTCAAGAGAGCACAGACCAGACAAGATAGGAAAATGTTGACCAGCCTTATGTGATGGGCCTTTCGATGATAATTGATATTGGCTGCATAAGGAGAATGGTTAAAGAAATCACACCAGCAACGGCCATTTCTGCATCATCCACTGTGCTAAATGCTAGAGGTATCGCATTGAATGGAACAGTGGTTGGGGTGTCAGTATTGGTAGTACCAATGTTTGCAGATTGGTACTTCGGCATGCGAGCATAATGATCAGCCGATGCCAACCCCCTGTTGATAGGAAGGTTGGATGGATAGGTGGTCGAGGTGGGTGGATAAACACTTGGCGCAACTATGTAACACTTGTTAGCCACTGTAAACAAAATTTGGGGTGAACGCAGACTAGTATTTCGTGATCGATCTCCAGTCTCTTCGGTGCGATGTTCGACTTGATCATAGCCAATGGTGGCAGCAGGGTCGTCAGTTATCTCACTAGCGACAACCGGTCCTGCATTTACCGCGCGGTTGGCTGAAGATGGAGTCCTCAAGATGGGCGGGGCAGAGCGGTTAGCAGTGGCGCTACTGAGATTCGCTGATTGAGGTTTCAGTGACCACAATCTTGCTACAACCTTCTTAAAGCTTGCGCACCTCAACCCCTCCCCGGACACGTCACGTGACATTATCATATCTTATATTCCAAGATCAACATTCAACTTCACACATTTTCTATGTTTCTTTACATATTTGATATATATATTGAGGGGAGAAAATAAACAGAACACAGCCTATTTATTGGACATATGAAAAAAATGGCTTCATGGTTATCCTGATTTGGCTCGAACTTTCATAAATAATGGCAGCAAACTTACCAGAAACTAACCCACTTGGCATTGAAAAAATGACTGTCGGAACGCACCATAATCCAGGTTACAGACTTTTTGAGCCATAAAACCAAATGCAAAAAATAATCTTAATACGGGAGTCAAACCACACACTTTGAGCAATTGCTGTTCCCACGATACAGAGCTCGTCCACCTAGGCCATAAGGACATGCATACATATTTGAGCTAATAGCAATATAATGCCTAAGATCATGAATGTAGCTGTAGTATATTCTCTCTCTAGATGACTATGTGTACACAAAAAAAAAGAAAATTCTGCGAAAATTACATTTTTATTTATTGGAATACTGTAATATTATGCCAACCATGATCATATCGTGGTCTGAGCGAGACGGAGTACTAAAAAGATGGCGTTCAAGGTTCGAAGTGGTAAGTCACGTGACATGTCTGGGGAGGGGTTGAGGTGCGCAAGCTCCTTCTTAAGACCGCAAAGAGGCTCGAGTAAACAATCACTGGTTTGGTCAGACATCGTAGACGACTAGATGGAAGTTGAGAAGAAAGATGTGGACATGGCAAAAGCGTGTCGTTGGTGGGCGCTATGTAATATCGTGACCACTCACATGTACTCACATTTGACCACCTTGTTCCTGGAAAGCTTTGACTTCCATTCTAAAACAGATAGCAAGAATCTCATATTCATTCTCTAGGTGGAATTCGGTAATATCTCCCTTCTTTCTCCATAGCAGCAATTCAGGAATAGGATATGCCTCCGTTAAAATTAAATCACCATGAGTTTTTCTGATCTGATATAAGGCTGAAAGGATTTGACGATAATAATCCCTTTTGACGTTGTAGGCGTAACCAGTTGTTGTAGCAGCACAACTACAATTGATAAGGAGGTTGTCTAGAATGGAGGATTCTTTCAGAAAGACGTCCTTAAGAAGTCACCTAGAAAAGTGGTCAGAAGCGAGTTCTGTTAGCCGTTGTTTAAAAGCCTTACTATCTAACCCTAAGGCGTTAGCTCTGCAGGTCATAAGGTCTTGATTGTCACAAAAGGTATGAGAAGAATAAAAAATGGTGTTGTCCACCATAGCGTTTTCTGGCTCAGTGAGAACATCATTCTCATCGACTGGTCCTATAAACGTTTCTAACATTTTAAAGTCAAAAGTAGAGTCGTTTCGGTCAGACAAATTTGAATGCTGGTCTTCAGGAGTGTTAACTATATTAGCTTGGTTAGTAGGGGGTAGGCCGAGGGCACCTTAATTTGTAATGCGAATATATATCCAAAATCCATGTTCCGCCACACCCTTGGCAGGAGGTGTGCTCTCCGAGCACCTGCCTACTGGGTGTTAATCCCAATGGGGTGTTAATGTTTCCCAGGTTTCCAAAATGGGTGTTAAATACATTACAGTGATTTCAGGCATTTTGCCTACCAAATTTTACTGACCACATATGTGGAGGTAAACATAAATACTTCTATTTTTTTTCTGGGCCTTTAGATCATCGGCAGAGCAGAAGGGTGCTGGTAGAATGGGATTTCGTTCCAATATCTGCATTCCTCAACACTACCACCACAGCTCCGCATGGAATTCTCTGTCATAGTCTGTATTTATCTGCAAATTTCCACTGAAAGCTTGTATTTCTGAAAGATTTATCCATTCAATATTCCTGCTGCATTCCATGAAAGTCTGTGAATATCGGAATTTAAGAAACTCTATTATCTGTGTCTATCTGTGTTTATCTGCATCTGTCTGTTACCCAAACCCACCTCTTTCTATTCCCCTCCCATACTCGTGACATCACTGGATGAGTGTCAAAACCTGTGAAGTGCTGTGAGCCTGAATTCCTGTGATAAGATTGGACTCACCAAGGTTGCTAGGAAACAGTTGACAAAATCTTCACAGCTGCTTTTAGCTCCTTGCTTCTGGCTTCATACATCTAAATTTCCTGATGTATTGGTCCTATGTAATCTACATATGTACCTGACATTTTTTTGAATCAATTTTGCAAAGGCGATGTGGAATTCGTCAAGAGTTGTGTCAGGGTACTCTTTCACATAATCTTGCATATACAGGTTACTGCAGATGTATGTTGGCAACAGGTAAGATCATTATTGACTCAGATCACGTACTGTGCTGTTGTAAGGGTATCTGATGGAACAAGGGGCCTCCCTTTCTTAGCGATTGGTGCCACATGGCTGGTTTGAGGTAGGGAGGGTAGGGTGGTGGTCTCGGGAACTTCAATAACAGCCTTCGGCACCACCAGATTGGTGCTTGAAATGATATTGAAGTTAGCACAATCAGTCAAAGAAAAAAAGGTCTTCACACAGTGGGTTCATCTAATGGATAATGATAAGGGATATCTTCAATCATGGGTAACATTGTACATACCTTTTTCTGGCACATTGGACACGCCGCTGGTTGCATGGTGCCTGGATGTTATAGTATTAGTACAGTACTTATATAGTTACCTCGCCGTATTGTATCTACATGTATACAAAGGAGAAAAGTGCGAAGTGTGTCTGCAGGCTACTGCAGACATGAAGCTTAGCTAAAAACCTGTTTATTTAAGAACTGTTTGTCTGTTTGGCTAGAGCATGTTGTTTGTTTAACTGAGATGCTCATCCAAACAAACAAAACCTTGGAAGTATGTTACTCGGGGAACCAGTAACTTCAATCATGATGCATCACCCTCATCGCAGCTTACGAGTATCTGAAGGCATAGCCATGACTCGTTGATGGTCAATGACCGAGGCCAAAGGAAAGGAAGTCCGGTCCAAGTGACCGAAGTATGCAACGTGAGTCATAAGGAACTTATGGAATAAGGTAGAATAAAGAAGAAGTCTCTAGTAGTTACTGTAGAAAGAGTATATAATAAGGATAACAGAATGTAGTAGATACTCTTCTCAAATCCATTGATTTAACCAACACAATTGACATGTGTGCTCAAATTCCCAATATATTTGTGCAGGTTGTACAAATGATCATTACTTACTAATCAAATAGGATATTCTAATAGTAACATATATTCAAAACACATTCAGGTGTTCTGAACAGTAAATTGAATAAGGAAGATTCTACGTGCATGAATGCAAAGTTACCAATCAATTACAAATGCAACACTTGTTAGTAACTATTACTAATCTACTCTCCAAATTATGTTAACGGACTTCAACATTGGTGGACACACTGGGAAATCGATTTAGGTAGCTATCAGATTTACTAAAAACATGTCTGAACCATCTGACAATGTTGCACTTGCACCCCCCCCCAAAAAAGGAAACTTCTGACTTCCTATGTCAAAAACATAACTCAATTCAGTATGTAGTATGTTACATTTTTGGAATTTCTAGGTACAACAACACTTCACCCCCATATCCATACAAGTTGGACACATCTAAAACTTCAATGAACGGCTAACCTTTGCATGAAACTAAAAGTGATCAGCAAAACAAACTGATATTGGTACCCATAGAGTCTCACAACCCTCTCCTTTACATTCAACCTCCCTCTCTCTCAACCAAACTGACTTTCTCCCCACAGCCATGACATCCTCATTCCAATTGTGGTCGTTTTTGACCACGTGTATGTGTGCACCGGGCAGGACCGCATGGGATATTCTTTCAACACCAACCCTGAGCCTTGTGAGTGACAGCAAGGGGACAAGGCTCCCTCTGGGTTGCACTTTGGGGCATGGTTGTGCTCTTGAATCCATTTGTCGAGTTGGATGGCACCTGCACAGCAATGAAGGAGCGGGGCGTGCTTGTTGTTGGCAGATTTTGAGGGATTAAAAAGGTTTGTTGATTTTTTTGGGCTCTCAGTCACAATTTCGGGCAGTAAATACGTAAATTAGGTGTACCACACATCTGAACTTTCCAACTTTTTTGTGAGCACTATTTGGCTTATTGGAAGGACTTTATTAAAGTAGGTCACATAAAAAATTCTGACCCCCAGGCTGAGCCCCCCCCTCCCCAACCCTATATCTGGGATCCACATTCCACCACCCCCTTGCCTCCTGCAGGCTTTTCTCCCTGTGCTATGTGCCGCAGGCCAGAAAAATATTTGAATAGCTCACTTTATGTGTAGTTAACTTTAGGATACACTAATTTGAACCCAGAATGCATTTTTGAACCATTGGAAAGGAAAATTGTGCTTTTTTGAGCATATAAACTGAGTTCTACTCAATGCAATTGATCCTCAAAGCATGTGTTATTGCTAATAAAATAAGGGTTTTGTAGTCTAAAAAAGCAGACACTACAAACTTCTCTAGTAAAAGGTGGATCCTACAAATTTTTGTGCTCTCAAAAAGAACATACTACAAGCTTCTCGGTCCATATAAAAATTAGCACTGGCAGTGAGCATGTCCATTACAATTCTAAACTCATTTTTGGCTGCTTTTTCAGATTCACATCTGCCCCATTTTCTATCAAAAGATTCACAATTGCCTCTTGACCTTGATATGATGCTGCTTGAAGTACAGCTCCATAGTATCCTCCTTGTGCATTCAAGTCTGCCCCATTCTCTATCAAAAGCTTTGCAATTGCCTCTTGACCTTTATATAATGATGCCTCAAGTGCATTTTTATATGGTCCTCCTTGTGCATTCACATCTGCCCCATTCTCTATCAAAAGCTTTGCCATTGCCTCTTGACCTCTGTATGATGCTGCCTGAAGTGCATTTCCAAAGTATCCTCCTTGTGTATTCACATCTGCCCCATTATTTATCAAAAGCTTTGCAATTGCCTCCTGACCATTCCATAATGATGCCTCAAGTGCATTTCCATAGCATCCTCCTTGTGCATTCACATCTGCTCCACCCTCTATCAAAAGCTTTGCAATTGCCTCTTGACCTTTGTATGATGCTGCCTGAAGTGCATTCCCAAAGTATCCTCCTTGTGTATTCACATCTGCCCCATTATTTATCAAAAGCTTTGCAATTGCCTCCTGACCATTCCATAATGATGCCTCAAGTGCATTTCCACAGCATCCTCCTTGTGCATTCACATCTGCTCCACCCTCTATCAAAAGCTTTGCAATTGCCTCTTGACCTTTGTATGATGCTGTCTGAAGTGCATTTCCATAGAGTCCTCTTTGTGTATTCACATCTGCCCCATTATTTATCAAAAGCTTTGCAATTGCCTCCTGACCAATACATAATGCTGCCTCAAGTGCATTTCCACAGCATCCTCCTTGTGCATTCACATCTGCCCCACCCTCTATCAAAAGCTTTGCAATTGCCTCATGACCTTTGTATGATGCTGTCTGAAGTGCATTTTCAAAGAGTCCTCCTTGTGCATTCACATCTGCCCCCATCCCTATCAAAAGCTTTGCAATTGCCACATGACCTTTATATAATGCTGTTTGAAGTGCATTTCCATACTCTCCTCCGTGTGCATTCACATCTGCCCCATTCTCTAACAAAAGCTTTGCCAGTGTCTCATAACCAAAAAATGTTGCTGCCAGAAGTGCATTTCCATAGTATCCCCCTTGTGTATTCACATCTGCCCCCCCCTCTATCAAAAGCTTTGCAATTGCCACATGACCTTTGTATGATGCTGCCTGAAGTGCATTTCCATAGAGTCCTCCTTGTGCATTCACATCTGCCCCCCTCCCTATCAAAAGCTTTGCAATTGCCACATGACCTTTATATAATGCTGTTTGAAGTGCATTTCCATACTCTCCTCCGTGTGCATTCACATCTGCCCCATTCTCTAACAAAAGCTTTGCCAGTGTCTCATAACCAAAAAATGTTGCTGCCAGAAGTGCATTTCCATAGTATCCCCCTTGTGCATTCACATCTGCCCCCCCCTCTAACAAAAGCTTTGCCATTGCCTCATAACCAAAAAATGATGCTGTCTGAAGTGCATTTCCATAGAGTCCCCCTTGTGCATTCACATCTGCCCCCTTCTCTATCAAAAGCTTTGCCATTGCCTCATAACCAATGTATGATGCTGCCTGAAGTGCATTTCCATAGTATCCCCCTTGTGCATTCACATCTGCCCCATTCTCTAACAAAAGCTTTGCCATTGTCTCATAACCAAAAAATGATGCTGCCAGAAGTGCATTTCCATAGTATCCCCCTTGTGCATTCACATCTGCCCCCCCCTCTATCAAAAGCTTTGCCAGTGTCTCATAACCAAAAAATGTTGCTGCCAGAAGTGCATTTCCATAGTATCCCCCTTGTGTATTCACATCTGCCCCCCCCTCTATCAAAAGCTTTGCAATTGCCACATGACCTTTGTATGATGCTGTCTGAAGTGCATTTCCATAGAGTCCTCCTTGTGCATTCACATCTGCCCCATTCTCTAACAAAAGCTTTGCCAGTGTCTCATAACCAAAAAATGTTGCTGCCAGAAGTGCATTTCCATAGTATCCCCCTTGTGCATTCACATCTGCCCCATTCTCTAACAAAAGCTTTGCCAGTGTCTCATAACCAAAAAATGTTGCTGCCAGAAGTGCATTTCCATAGTATCCCCCTTGTGTATTCACATCTGCCCCATTCTCTAACAAAAGCTTTGCCAGTGCCACATGACCTAAAAATGATGCTGCCAGAAGTGCATTTCCATAGAGTCCCCCTTGTGTATTCACATCTGCCCCCCCCTCTATCAAAAGCTTTGCAATTGCCACATGACCTTTGTATGATGCTGTCTGAAGTGCATTTCCATAGAGTCCTCCTTGTGCATTCACATCTGCCCCATTCTCTAACAAAAGCTTTGCCAGTGTCTCATAACCAAAAAATGTTGCTGCCAGAAGTGCATTTCCATAGTATCCCGACAGAAGCTTTATCATTAATTCTAACAGAGATGATTCTTGAGATTCATCATCATTACTAGATTGCACATGGAATATCCAGTTTTTTGCTGCATAATTCATCAGAGGAAAATCTGCATAATTTTTTCCCTTTGTTGTTTTAAATTGCAGAAGGTAGGCAAGACAAGTCTGAGATATCATAGAGTGAGAGAGCTCTTGGCTCAAGCTGAAAGCTTTTATTTTCTTGTTGTGATGTTCTTCAACATACTTAGACAAGAGATATTCCTTGATAGAGAAGTGTGCAAGCTTAATTGTATCTGTTTTATGTTTAGTCTTTACTTCAATCCAGTGAAATATCAAAACATACATCCTGATTCAACAAAACTGGAGCACATCTTCAAAACATCTGAGATATCTTGAAGTTCATTTTCACATTCAAATTGTGGTCCATTTTCAGCTGCAAGATCAACAGTTACAGTTGCAGCAAGTTCTTTCAATGTCATTGGACGAACAGCAAAACATAACCATAGCAGAAATGTTTTAGTGTAGCCACAGTCTCTTTTATCAATCCCCAGCAAGATTCGGTCATATGTCTCATCCAAGCCTTCAGGTAGATTGTTTAGCTGTTCTCTGATTGCTTTCCGAGTTCGACATTTCTTAAGGTCCATTAGCTGCAATGCAACCCATCGAAACCTAAATTTGAAGTTAGCAATTATCCTGTCATTTAACTAGTAATTCAAAAACATACATTCCATCTGCTTGGTTTATTAATGTTGACTTTACTTCATACTGAATCTCTTGACCCCACTTATGCCAGTCAGAGTCATTCTGAAGCTGATAGTCAAGATAGGCCACAATATTATGGTCCCCAGATGCCTCAACCAGATCAATACAGGGATAAAACTCAAATTTGTCATTAATCTCTTTCTCTGGCCTGCTAGTAGTGATCAAGTGCAGCCTAAGATTTTCATTCTTATCCAAGATAACAGTCTGAACCCAGTCAAGCACCTTATATCTTTCAGAGCATTCATCAAGAGCATCCAGAATAATATATGCAGAGTTGAAGCCACCAAGAATTCTTTGGAGGACATTATGAAGATCATCAAGAGATGGTTGCTGATAGCCATTGCCACAGTGAGAAAACAAGTCTGCCAAAACCTTTGGTACACCATTCCCACATTTCAGTGAGAATTGCCAAATAAGTGATCGAATCAGTTTATCATGCAGCTGTAATTCCTTTTGAGAATCTCTGCCATCAAAAAAGAAATAAGCAGTTGCAAGAGATGATTGTGTTTTGGAAAGATGATCAATGATGGAAGAGCTGATTGAACTGTTTAGCTTGCTCCTGACACAATAAAGTAGTAAATAATTTACCTTAGAATGGTTTTACCACATCCAGCTTGACAATTGGTAAATTCAGAGCCCAAACCTGTATTCATAAACAGATAGCTTACATTTTCCTTTAATCCAGAGAAAGCCGGCCTCTGCCAGCCACACAGAAAAGCTCTTCCCTTCAAGAAACCATGAGCAAGAGTCTGGCTGACTCTTTAAAATGGTATGTGCTGCATGGTAATTGCTAGAACTGTCAGGTGGGGAAAGCCATGCACAAATCTTGCTGACTGAAGTAATCAGAGAGGTTAGTTCAAGTGATACAACTATAATTGGCATATATATATACCAAGTTGTTCATCCTCAATTGTTTTTAGAGTAATTTGAATACCCAAATCCACAACTATCAAACAAAATATTTATTGACATCAACAGCATATCGTGATTATTACACACCTTCATTGTTGACTTGTTGAATGATAACACCTGTTGAAATGCAGGTGAACATCTTAAACATGAGCTTGTCTAAATTATCATACCTTGGTTGTGGCCAGTATTTACATTCTGAACCCTCTCAAAATTATTCATAACACCAACTTCAGGGTTAGTTGAATGACCTGCATGGTGAGCTTGCATCTGATATAGACCATAATAATTTATTGTAGAAATTACCTGCTGGATCTGCAATGGGAAGGTTGGATAGAGGTGCGGTCAAGATACATGGGCCGGATTTTAGATGACCTATGTCAGAGCTGTCAGTAACTTGGAAAAGCAGAATTCAATTAGAACAGACCAGTCAAGACAGGGAAAGGCTGTTGCAATGCCTGAGTCACATGTGAATGTCCAGCCCGGTCACCTACAATGGATGAAAGTCAACATTGACTCGATGCGCAAAGGAGTTGTCAGCTATCTCACCAGTGACAGCCATTCCTCCATCAGCCGCACGGAATGGAGTCGTCATGAAGGGCGGCGCAGAACTGGAGCCGGCTGCACCAGTAGCGTCGTTCACGGATTGAGGTATCGGCGAGCGCAATCTTGGTTTCTTGTGACTAGATAGCCAGTCCAATGAAGATTCTTTCCGTTTGTTCGACATCGTAAACGAGATGGAAGTTGAGAAGGAAGATGAGGCGCTCGTGGTTGCGGTGTTACTTCAACCAATGTGTCTCCATCCACAACAAGGGCAAACTCCATGGCGTAATCCCAACGAACATCCAAACGCGATTCGCCCAATGCCTGCACTTTCTCCCCCCGCACTCTATCAACTAAAATTCTAAGCCAAAAGTCCACCATGAAGCCACACTCTATCAACTAAAATTCTAAGCCAGAAGTCCACCATGAAGCCATCGTTCATGTCCCGCAGACCTACTAGGGCCCTCGCCTCGACCAAACCTTGGAACCCGCGCAATAGATAGTCGTGAAATCAGCGACGATGCGGAGCGCGCTCTTTAGGCAGGTAGGAAGGGTGCTGATTGCGGTGGAGCGCGAGAATGTACGTTGTTCTTTCGCGTTTTTGTTTTCGGCACTCTGATTGTGAAATGGTGTTCTCAAAGCCCCTCGATATCATCGGCATCCACGGCGAAGTTACTTGTTCGGACGTTTACTTGACCTCGACTCTGTTTGCTTCTCGACTTGAAGCCACGACCATTGCCCGATAGAATCCTTCGGACCTTGGGTGCGTTTTCCCATGCAATTGTTCAAATCGTTCCCTAACACTTCTTTGTTCACATTTCAGGATGCAAGTA